ATCTCGAGTTGGTGATATCCCGATTTGAGGTCAAGCTTGGAGAAGAACTTGGCGCCGCCCAGTCGTTCGAGGAGGTCGTCGATGCGCGGAAGAGGACCGGCGTTCTTGACGGTTTGCGCGTTGAGCTTGCGATAATCGATGCACAACCGCAGCTCCTTGTTCTTCTTCCGGACGAAGAGAACGGGAGCACCGTATGACGAAGAGCTAGGCCGAATCCAACCTTTCTCGAGAAGATCGTCGAGTTGTGCCCTTAGCACACTTAACTCTTCCTCGCTCATGCGGTAGATGCAACCACGCGGAGGTACGGTCCCGTCCTCGAGGATGATCTCGTGGCGGATGGGCTGATCAGGTACTACTTCGTGTGGTGTTTCGAACACGTCGTCATAGGCGTGGAGAAGCTCGGTGATGCGCGGGTCCAGTGGTGAGTCCGTCAATGGAATGTCTTGGGGTGGGAGGGCGTGGAGAAAACACACCCCCATCTCCTCGATGTCATCCCGGATGATGGAAGCGCGAATGCTTGCGGCGGACACCACGTGGCAGCTGATCGAAGGTTGAAAAGGAGACACCGTGCATAGGACTAGTACTCCGTTCCGATCACGAACGTGAACGGTGCGGCGGTAGAAGTTCACCGAGTGATCCTCGCTTCGTAGCAATAACATGCCCAAGATCATGTCGAACTTGGTGTCCAAAATATCGAAGGCCACGGCCTCGCTTGCATGCGGGGCAAAGTACACGGGGACGGCATCAATGCATCGGTCGATTGACTTGTGCGTGTGACCGCTGGCCAACGTGACTTGTGTGGGCTGCGACTTCGTCCGAACGCGTGGCCCAAGGCCAGCGCGTACCATAAAGTCTTGGCTCATGTAGTTGCGAGTAGCTCCGCAATCGATCAAAGCGCTGCAGGTCGCCTCTCCGATCTGAATGCGTATGTACAACAATGGCGCGTCGATGTCATCGTACCGTTGTGTCTTGAACTCGCGGTTGATCTTCGCAATGTAGGCGTGAAGGGCGACAACCTCTACTCCGGCGTCCACCAACGGCGTTGGTACTGCAGTGTGCAAGTAATCCCGCAATTGTGCCATGAGCACGTTGCAATCCGGTTTCGGCAATCGACTGGACGGGGGAAGGGGCATCCATTGGAAGTCCGCAAACGTCAACGTGTCGAGCTCTTCAAGTCTTGACCATGTCGTTGAATCCCCAGCGATAGATAGCGGCGAAGTTGCCGACTCGGTTGCATGGTAGTGAAACCGTGATTGCGGTGGATTGTTGCACGTGGAGTGGTTGGTCCAAAGGTGGGACCAAGTGGATAGCATAATCCTCATAAGTAAACCGAGGACTTGCGACATTCGCATCCTCCCCAGATGTGTAGGAGGCCGCTAGCAAGGCGGCCGAATTTGGCGGAGTGAGAGGTGGAGCCGCCTCACCTCCCGTGCAACTCAGTTTCCCAAGTTGGTGCGAGGCCGAACATCCTCCTTGCCTTGATCCAGGTATTGGGAGATCTTGTGCTTGGTGTTGTTGCACCAATAGCAGCAACCATACCGGCCGCACCACTTGTATTCGGCCTCGGTCAAGTGAAACTTGACCCAAGGTGCTGGCTGTCCGTTTTCGGCGGCGATGCGGTTTTCGCCTTCCCTTTTCCTCGGGAGTTGTTGTTGCTTTGCGGCTGGACAGCAGCCACCTGATCTCCCTCACGTGATGCTTGGGTGGCTGCCGGGTCTTCCACAATGTTGTCCGAGTGGACTGCAGCGACATGCTGCGGACGCGGACCAAATTTTCCTTTCTCCACATAGGTTGGCTGCCATGCCGACTTCTCGTGTGCAGCCGCCCCTATTGGTCTTGATGATCTCCCTTGCCTTGTCGATGATTTCGGGGAAGGTCGCATATTGCTCGCTATCACCAAGTGCAAGGCTCAAGGCGGCACATGACCGGATGTAGAACTCCCGGCGCAGATGCGAAAACGACAATTCGAGATCGGGCGTCGCCGCGATCTTTTGCCATTCCGTGAGCCAGTCGCGTGTCGGTGTGTTTCCTTGCGTCATCGCAAAGAGGCGGTTGATGGCGAGCGTCGGGGCGTCGTCCACGATGAACCGCTTCTTCCATAGCTTCGTCATATCTGCCCAAGGAATCTTCGTGTGCAGATCGACGACGTCGACGCCGTGGATGGTTGCCAGGTGGCTAAGCCAGATCTGGCATCCGCCCTTTGAGTTGAGGAACAGCGCGCCGATGTACGAGCGCTCGGGGACGAAAAGAATCCGAAGTTCCGTCGTAAAGCACTCCCACCAAGGGACCGGGTCTTGATGCGTATAATCATCGAACTTTTCGATGCAGAATGTCGGCATCTTGTAGTGCTGCGCGGTGTTGCCATCCTTGTTGGGCAACTGGTGCAGTTGCTGAACCTCGGTCTTCAAGGTGTCCAGCTGCTTGCTGATGGTGGCTGGTGCAGCAAAGGTGTTGATGTCGCCGAGCATTGCGACGACGTGGTCAACTCGTTCCTCTAATTGGCGGGTAGAGAGGGTGCACTGCTGGACTCGCCAACATTTGGTCTTGGTGAAGATTGCTCCAAGTCCTGTACACGGGAATCAAGTGCCCGTGTAGCATCCTCGTGCAGATCCTTGTGGTTCCGCACCGCCCGTCGGAGATTCGCCAACTCGGACTGCAGGTGGTTACAAGTGTAAACCAACCGGGTCACGAGTTTGGCCAGGAACTCCTTGTGCTTCTCTTCCGGTGTCGCGTCGTTGTGCTGCTCAGATGGTTCAAAATGCCAAAACTTGAGCTTTTCGATGCTGGTGGCTTCATGCCGCTGTAACAGATCCTGGGCCTCCTTGCGGCGTGCCTGGGTATCTGCTTCGGCTTCGGATTGAAGCCACTGTTTTTCAACTGTTGCCGTCGCTTCAGCTTGTAGGCGGGCAGCCTCAACTGCCGCCTGACGCTGTTCCTCAGCCTCGATCAGTGCGAGCTGAGCTTCGAAACGCTGTCGGTACTCGGCAATGGACTCATTGGCCAGTTGGCCTGGCATGCCCAAAACTGAGCCCGTCATGGTGGCGGGGCACTACTGATGTGGCACTGTGGCACTGCTGACGTGGCACTGCTGACGTGGCATTGTTGTTGACGTGGCACTGTACCAACCCGGGAATGCATGCAAAGGGGTGGGCGGGAGGGAAAACGCAGGTAGGTAACCAACCCAGCTACACTTTCCTCCCGGTCCTAATCAACAGACTAAAATAAATAGAAAAATAAAAGAAGAGGATCACCCCCCTTTTTTTTTTTTTGTATATATGTCGATCTGCTATGAGTGAGGTATGTCAGAAGAGTACTATGAGCAAGATCTAGGCCAGGTTCGGCAAAGTTTAGGCTTCCACAAAAATGCGATCTTGAAAAAAAAATTAAAAAATTGCGAAATAGAGTAGAGATGCGATTTTCAGAAAAGAAGTAAATCCAGTTTTTGAGAATATGGCAACCTCCTAATAWGCCTAAAACGAAATGCTGGTAGGCTTCGCAAGATTTCGGTTTTCAAAAAAAATTTGCGAGATAGAATGGAGATTCGATTTTCAGAAAAGAATAAATCCGGTTTCCGAGAATATGACCACCTCTATCGGTATCCTAATATGCCTAGAAAACGAAATGTTAACATCAGAAATTTTCGGCTATGTATGCGAACATCAGAGAAACGAAATGCTACTATCAGGAATTTTTAGATAAAACGAAATGCGATTATCAGAAATTTTCAGATATTTGTTGCGTGAAAACGAAATACTAATATCAGAAATTTTCAGGTAAAACGAAATGCGATTATCAGAAATTTTCAGATATTTGTTGCGAGAAAAAAAATTCAGAGATTTGACGAAGTCCTTCTTGATTTAATAATGAGTAATCAATAGATCGAGCAAGTTGAATGAGAGGTCTGCTCCGATACCAAACTGTTGCATACTGTAACGGTGCAGACCAGAACAAGAACCAACCTCTCTCACAAAGTACAAGATAGCGTAGCGGAAGACTTGGATACAAATGATTCGAACAATCAATATTGCAATGCAGCCCCAAACATACATCATCATCATCACTCCATGGTGTGAAGGGGCCTGGCGCTCACACAGGAAGAATGCGCCAGTCCCCAACCATACACAGACGAAGAAGAGGGGGGTTAGACGAAGAAGAGGGGAAGATGGGAATGTTGTCAACACCGAGTCTTCGACACAAGTCCAAATAGTCCCTCGTCAAAATGTCTGAATCCCAATGTCGAGTCTGGATCCAATGTCGTCAAGTCTCAAGTCACAAATCTCTCTCTCTGTCGTAGTCCGCTGATACTGAGACGTCAGGTACTGAGAGGGTGAAGAAGACATGATGGACTTAGAAGAGGAAGAAGAAGAACTCCCTCTCTCTCTCTCTCTCTCTCTCTCTCTCTCTCTCTCTCTCTCTCTCTCTCTCTCTCTCTGTGTCCNGTACTAACCTGTGATGTTGGCGCCTTGATGCAGGTACCTTGAAGATGAAGCTGGAGCTATGGCGCCACAGGTAAGTCTCCCTGGCCTCCGCCAGCCATCTCTCTCTCTCACCTCCTCTTACCTCTACTAGCGCCCAGCGCTGAAGACTACTGCTAGCGCTAAGCTACTCCTGCARCGCTCCTCCAGAGTGYTGCTGCCGAATCCTGAAGACTACTACTGCCTCCCTCTGACTGCCCGTGAAGTGCATGGGAACTCCATATGTACTACCTCGGCCTGCCTCCTGACTGCCTGCAGCTGCAGGGCGGGACAGTCCAGGAGGCTGCTCTTGCCAATGCCGAGGTGAGCCAGGGCCTGCCGCTGCAGCTCCTGCTGCGGCTGGYGTGGGAACAGGCCAAAAATAGCCTGTTCCCGAAACCCTGGYTTGGTGCCTGACTGTTAGGGCAGGTCGATCTTATGAGGGCCCGAAAGTGGCCCTCCGTTTCAGGCTGAAAAGACTCAGGGCCTGGAAGGCCCTGTTTTAGGCTGAAACGACATAGGGCCTGCAGGCCCTCGTTTTTCAGTCTTTCAGGCTGAAACGACACGGGGCCTGTAAGGCCTTGTTTCTAGGCTTTTAGGCTGAGACTGCGGGACAGGCCCTGCAGGCCCGTGTGGCTGCGCAGTATGCCACAGTGTTCAGAAAGTAGCATTGCACCAATATAACACCAATGGAGAATAGTAGCACTGAAAATCAATGTCAACGAGAGCTTGCTCTCGCCACCACCAACATATGTATCGAGTCCCTATCCCCCTATCTGGCGCTCGACGCCCAGCCTACTCCCTACACATCTACTACTAGCCTACTTATTGACAATGCAACTGTTGACGTCAGCAGCACCCAAAGTACTTGAAGATGTCGCCCATGCAGAACCATCGCCAATACCAGGTATGTGCCTTCACATCATCATCATCATCCTTCTCTCTCTCCCTTGACTCTCTCCCACGTCTTCCTTTGTTTTACACCCGAAGACCACCCCTGCGCCTCACTGTACATCCGAGCCCTGCCAGCTATGGAGGCTGGGCTATGGCGCTGCCCTCAGCAGCGTCCTACTCCTTGCACGACCGCACCTGCTCGCACCTCGCCTCTCAGCGCTAGCAGCAGCCCGCGAGCTTCAGCTTGAGCAGCGCTACCGCCAGCATGCGAGTGCCCGAATCCCTGGCCAGGCAGCGAGCTCTTTCCTATATGGAAAGAGCCTGCCTCATTCGGCAGCCTGGCTGGACTGGCCTGGGCCCAGAANTTCCTATATGGAAAGAGCCTGCCTCATTCGGCAGCCTGGCTGGACTGGCCTGGGCCCAGAAGCTTCCGGTAGGCCCCAGGATGCTGCGCCTCTGGTGCAGCTACTGGGCCTCATTCGGTTGGGCCTCCCAACTGTCTGTGTATTAGGCTGCGAAACTCGCCCAGGGCCTGTGCTTTCGGAAAGGCCTAGAAGGCCTGGGAATTTCCACGCTGCTAGGCCTGTGTTTTCCTCCAACCAACTGGCACGACGAAACTGCCTGGACCCCAAATATGAAATTGACAGCCAAGGGCCTCACGTAATTTGTTAGGCCCGCCTTCACTTAGGGCGGGCACATTTGCTGCAGGGGCCCCTTAGGCCTCCCGAGGACTCAGATCCTCACATTCCCTCCTCCTGTACTTCGATAGTCCTCTGAGAAGTTTTCTATTCTGCAGGCATCTTCCCTTTACGATCTCTTTCATAGCCTGCAATGACTTGAGGTGCAGTTCTCACGAGTTCTTCTCTGATGAACCACCGATCTTTGCTGGGGTCCAGATGATGTCTGAATCTGACCCGGTACTGCATTTTTGGCTTAGGAGGGCGGCCTCTGCCCGGTGGTCGAGGAACAGGCATCAGACGATGCTCCACGATGATCTGGTCTATGTCCACTTCGCCATCCATGGTTGGGGGCAGCATTGATCTCCTGGAGGGAAACTGATCTGTGGCAGCGAAAGGTGCCAACTTGGATGCATGGAAAACAGGGTAAGTGCGCAAGTGTGGAGGGATGCGAATCACGTTTGAGGGCCCATCCGGTTGATCCCCTACAATGTCCAAGATCTCCCAGGGCCCAAAGTACTGTGGCATCAGTTTTCGTGGAACCCCCATCTCCTGAGCTAGTTCAGATGACTTCACACCCAGACTCTATCACCTACCTGAAAGTTAGAGGGCCGTCTATGTTTATTCTCAGATGTGATCATAGCATCCTGAGACTTCCTAATATGTTCAACGGCCTGCTGCAGCATCTGTTCATACTGGACAGCAAACTCTATGCTGCCAGGTGCTGCAGTGGGTTGCCTTTCTGGTAGCAGAAAGTCAAGTGCACTTCTGGGCTTCCAACCAAGATGCAGCTGGTTGGGAGTCGTACCAGTAGTACCGTGCACGGCATTGTTGTACAGGCTGGCGACGAGAGGTAACTTCTCATCCCAGTTATCCTGACTTGGCTTAATATAATGCCGAAGCAAGTGCTGTACTACCCGGTTCATTTGTTCTGCCTGGCCATTTGACTCAGGGTGATCCCCTGAGGTCGTTTGGAGCTGGTACCCATCTGTTCCGCTGTCGTTTGCCACAGTTCGCTGGTAAACCTTACATCCTTGTCACTTACTATCGACGTAGGTAGTCCAAAATCCCTGACCCAGTTATCCAAAAACAGTTTGATGACGTAGTCAGTTTTAGCAGTTTCTGGCATAGCAACAAGTCTTGCATACTTAGAAAAGCGGTCCACTATCACAAAGATGTGCCTTTTTCCCGACCTGCTAGTCACAAGGGTATCCATGAAATCCATGGATACACTCTGACCAGGACCTTCAGGAATCGGCAAGGGCTTGATGAGCCCAAGCGGAGCCTAAGTCCTGGGTTTGTCCCTTTGGCAAACCTGGCAGGTTTCAACGTACCTTTTTGCATCTTGCATCATAGTGGGCCACCAGAACTTCTGCACTAGATTAGCTGAAGTCTTTTTATAACCAAAATGACCAGTTGCATCATGACATTCCCCTAAAAATAAACTACGCAAAGACTCACTACTGGGAACACACAACCTCTTCTTCCCTGCCTTCTCAAGAAACAGCAAGCCGTCTACCATCGTAAATTCATCCAAAGTTTTTTTGTCCTTTGCTTGGAATCTACGGATGATCTCAGACATAACTGGATCTTGCTGATAGGCTTCCACCAATGATCGAGTTCAGTCGCTGGGTATGCCAAATTCAATCACTAGAGCGCCCAGATAATCTGCCCGACGAGATAGTGCATCAGCTACTTTGTTGTACTCACCTTTGATTGGATCAAGTTGATAGTCATACATAGCTATCACTTGTATCCATCGCTTGAGTGCGTCGAAGAGTACCGACTGTGTCTTGATCCAGCGCAAGGTCTCATGGTCAGATCTCACATAGAAGAATCTGCCAAGGAGATAGTGTCTCCAATGTACCAGCGCTCTATACAGGGCATAGAGCTCACGCTCATAAGTGGACTTAGCTAGTTTCCGAGATGGCATCTTTTTGCTCATGTACTCGATAGGTCTCAACTTGGGCCCCTCCTTTTGCACAAGGACCGCGCCTATGCCATATTGGCTGGCGTCTGTGGTCACGACAAATGGCTTATCAGGATCCGGAAGTTCAAGAACCTCAGTGTGTGTCAGGGCATACTTCAGTTTCCTGAAGGCCACCTCACACTCTTCTGTCCACTCCCAAGGGGTATCAAGT